GCTTATGCTCTAATAAATTTGTTAGTCTCTAAGGTGCCACAAGTCCTCCTGTTCTTCTTTTTGTATGTATTCAGGTAAAGGATAAGACTGTTGCATGTAACATTGTCATGTGAGCCCTGGCCTACACAGAGGCTAAGCCATGTGGTAGTTACCCCAACTCCTCATGGTTGCATTCCTACTGCAATGTAACTTCCCAGTGCAGACAACTCCGAAGATGGCAAAGTTCTTCCTGATTTACAACAATGTAACGAAGATCAGAATCTGGCAACTTGCTCTAGATACAGAAAGTGATTCCAAGGGCACTGAATGACTAAAATAAAAGAACAGAGAGACAGATTCTGGCCAGACAACTGTAAAGATGACAGTCTCAAACATCTCAGACCTTTTGACAATTCAAAGGGGGCACTGCAGGCAAGGAATAACGAACAAAAGCAGTACAGATCCTGGCCATACAAACTGCAAAGATGATCAGTTTTGAATTCTAAGGTACCACCTGATTTAAATTTCCCATCGTGAAATTGGCATTTAGAACAGGCTTCATGGTCATGCTATTATTTCATTTAATATTTTGTTTTACAGTAGTACCTAAAGACCACAAGCATTTGCAGAGCTCCATTGTGTGAGGCACTATACATACATATAGCAAGAGACAATCCCCACCTCAAGGAGCTTACAATCTAAATAGACAATGCAGACAAAAGGTGGGAGGAAGTATTACTTATTTTATAGATTGGGAACCGAAGTACAGAAAGATCAAGGTCACACAGGCAGTCTATGGCAGACTTTGGGTGCCCAACTTGAAACATCTTGAAGCGCCTGATCTGCTGAGCACCCACCTCCTGAAAAATCAGATTTCTTTAAAGGGGTCTCAGACACAGGTGCCAACTTTTCCTGGCGCCAGTGAGTACACGCACCCGGCCCCACCCCCTCCCACTCCCATTCCAACCCCTTTCCCAAAGTCCCTGCCCCAACTCCACCCCCTCCCTGCCCCAGTGGACTCCTTCTCCAAATCCCTGCCCCGGCCCCTCCTCTTCCCGGAGCCTACCACATTTCCCTGCCTCCCCCCTCCCTCCCAGCTGTTTCGCGGCAGCAAGTGCTGGAGCTAGGGGGAAAAGTGGGGACGCAGCACGCTAAAGGGAGGAGGCGGAGTGGAGATGAGCTGGGGCGGGGAGCTGCCAGTGTGTGCAGAGCACCCACCAATTTTTCCCTGTGGGTGCTCCAACCCCGAAGCTCCCACGGAGTCGGCGCCTATGGCCTCAGATTGAAGTGACTAGTGATTTTGTGTGCCCAAACTACTGGCATAAATCTATATCTCCTGAGTCCAAACACACATAGGGCCTTAACCACAAGGCTTATCCCACCTCTGCTAGTTTCTAACACAGTTGCTTAAAACCATTGTTCATACCAGCCTTGATGCAGGATTTGGCTTTGTAGCACTGGTGATTCCAGGTTTCCCATACAGACTTAATTAGTCAGCATGGCCATCTTCTACACTTATTTAATTGCATGAACTATACATTGTAGCTCGATTTGGACTGCTCCCACAAGACTAGGCTTGGGAAGTTTTGAGAGCGCATCCAAGTTACAACAATACCAGACTGGGGTACAGAGGAGTCAGGTTGAGCATCACAGCAGAATTTGAGCATCATGAAAATGTGATATGCCCTTATTCAAAAAACAGACTTCGGTATAGTTCAGAAGTAGCCCTGGAGGGGGTCACTATAGGGAGGAAAGTGGCAGGCTCTGACAACCACCAGCCAGCACTGCGGACCCAGATTTTCTAATATAAGAATCTAAGAGACCAGAGCCCCACAGAGTATGTCTACACAGTGCCTTAAACCTGGGCACTGCTCAGGGTTGGGCCCTCTTCCATCCACACACAAATCAGTCTGACTTGGGTCAGTGAGCACGCAGGCCCTGGTTCCTAGGACTGCACTAGTGGGGTGGGCCAAGGCCCAAGGCCCGTTGTGACTCCAGTCCACGCCCTGCTATTTTACAGCCTGGGCGCAGCTCATGCCACATACCCCAGCCAGAAGGGCCCCGTGGTGCAGTGCGGACACGTTAGCACGACTGAGAGACCCGGGTCCAGAAGCAGTCAGTCAGGGTTACAATGCCGTGAGTGTGGACGCTCAAGCCGGGGCTTGGAAACCTGAGGCCCCACGACCAGGTCCCAAAGGCCCGGGTCTCCAGCGTGGGCACCGGGCCGTCGGAGTCCGGGGCTCAGCCATGGGGCGGGGCGGGGCGGGACGGGGCCTGATGGAATGAAAGATGGGATGGCCAGCAGCCCCGCGACTACCCATTGCCAACCCCCGACTAACTAGGGCGGCCTCCCTTACCCAGAGCCCGGTTGGCCGCGTCCAACCTCCGCAGCACAGAGCGCAGCTCGCTCGCCTTCAGATTCCCCGCCATGGCCCCGCAATTCCCGCTCAAGGCACGCTGGGAACCGCCATCTTGTTGTACGGAACCTGCAGCTGCGCTTCAAGGGCCCGCCTTCTTGCTGCGCAAACGCTGCTCGTGACTACGCGACCGCCGCCATGGTGTTGTACGGACTCCCAGAAGGCTTTCGGACCCGGCCTACGGAAAGCCATGCAGTTCATTACAATCCATGCTCTGCTCTGCCGGCTACGGTGGCCCGGACACGCGCGATTGCTCCGCGCCTGTCCCGCGGCAAGGGCTGCGCGCGGGTGGATGGGGATAGGGCGGTGATGGGAGCAGCACGGGCTCTCCTCGGGCAGCCTCCGGAAGCAGCTCACCCCGCGGGCGGGCGGGGCAGGGCTGAGAGGGAGCGAGCCCAGAACCGGCTGGAGCTGCTGGGAGGAGAGGTAAGGGGGGGGCGGGGTAGAGGGGCTGCATCGTTAGCGTCCCCGGGGGGTGCAAGCTGGTGCCGAGGGGTCCGCAGGCCCCGCGTGTAGGGAGCCCCAGGCAGGGCCGGAGCTGTGCCTGCTCCCGGCGTCTGCCCCTGGGCATCGCTGTGCCTTGTGCGCCCTGCTCCCGTTGCACCGGGGGGGGGGGGGAAGAGTCCGGGCGCTTTGCAAACCGCGCCCCCCCGGCCTGGCCGGGGGGCGGGGGTACTGAACCGGCAGCCCTGGCGTTAGGGGCCGCTCCCTAGGCAGGTGACTGCGTGGCAGTCAGAGCGGATCTGCCCTGGCCTATTACTGACTCCCCGCCGGGGGAAGGGATCAGGGCATGTCACGGGCAGAGCTGGCCTAGCAGGTACGGCAGGTTGTGAACGCTTGTCTCACGTCCCGGCAGAAGCGAGTCCAATAAAAGAGATTCCCTCATCCGCCTTGTTTCTCAAATCCCCAGCAGCTAAACAAAGGTAGCGTCTACACTACGGCCCTAACAGCGGCGCAGCTGTATCGCTACAACGGTGCCACTGTAAGGTCTCCCCTGTCGATAGCCACTCTTTGCTCTCCTGCCGGCATAATTAAACCACTCCCAACCAGCAGCCTTAGCTCTGTCCGCAGGAGAGCGTCTCCTGCCAATGTAGCGCTGTCTGCACTGGCACTTTTGTTGGTGAAACTTATGTCGGTGAGGGGGTTGGTTTTTGCACACCCTGACTGACAAAAGTTTGACCGACAAAAAGTGCTAGTGCAGACAAAGCCTAAGGCCTTGTCTACACCAAAGGGAAAAGTCGATCTAAGCTACGCAGTATGAGTTACATGAATAGCGTAACTCAAATCGACGTAGCTTAGATCTACTTACCACAGGGTGCACACTACACAACGTCGACTCCCCTTACTCTTCTCGATCAGGTGGAATACAGGAGTAGACAGGAGAGCAATCGGCAGTCGATTTAGCAGGTTTTTATTAAACTCGCTAAATCGACCGCCGATGCATTGATCAGCTCCATTAAGTGTAGACAAACCCTCAGTGTCATCCACAGCTCTCCTCCTCTGTTCCACTGAATGCATTCTATTGGCCGGCTTCATAGGTAGCATACGTATCTGGATACACATGTTGTGAAGGTTGTGTCCCAGCAAATAAAAAAGCCTGCAAATCTTATGTAGACTTAGGCATTTGTATAGGTTTATGTGCATGAGTAGGCCTGTGGACTTTAGTGGGAATGTGTATAAACCTATGCTGTGCTGAAATGATTGCAGAATTGGGGCCAAGGAAGCATACTGTCTAATGCAGGCCCTTTGTTTTCCCACTCTCTGAGTATTTTAGGGATATTTACATGTAAGTATACAGGTGAAATATACACATAATACTTTGACAGGTATAATAGTTTAGGTAGGGAATGAGTAATCAAGAATAGACCACGGTGCCATTTCTATGTAAAGCGATACACATACAAATATATATATATGAGTACTTGGTGTATTAGCTCAGTACACTGATAAAGCTTCAGGTACATGGATATTTGATACAGAATTGTTATGCAAATTTATTCAGTGTATGAATTAGTGGCATTTCTATAGTACCGTGTAGTTTTGTAGTGAGTTTAATTGAATTATTCCATACACACCCGTGTAACATCAGAATATGGCCTAATTAATGAAAACTGATAACTCTCTTGCTTATTTGGCTATTAGTAGTGAGTATATTAGTAATTGTCATATTCACAATGTGGTCTTTTTGTTATTTATTTGTATATGACTTTAGGGATGGGATCTAGTCCTGCATTACTTAGCAGATGATGCAGTCAGTCTCCTAAAATGAAAGCACAAACATATAACTTAGAATGGCTAAATATGTGGAGATGTTAAAATGCAGTGAAAATTATTTTTAATTATGCAGTTTTGTCATGCCTTTTTTTTTTAATCTACAGGTCAATTTGCTCAAATAAAGTATTGCTAAAAGAAAAAGGATGCACTTAGAAAATGTGACCAAGGAAATGGTCCTTATTACAGGAGGAGGTGGTTACTTTGGTTTCCGGTTAGTGCATAAAATATTAACTTTAGTTTACATTAAATATAGTAGCAAACACTTTACAGTGCAGATCTTTTTAGTGAAGTGAGTCTGTAAATATGGTATCACAGGGCTCTGTGTTTCTTTTAGTGATTCCAGTGCCTCAAATACAATGCTAAAGATCATGGGATTGAGCCTCACTTGCTCTCATATTGAAAGGCTACCTCTAGTTCACCATCTGCAAAATGAGTACCTGATTTATCGTGTTTGGGCAGAGGTGAGGTCAGCATAACTATGTCTCCAGAGGTGTGGATTTTTCACGGATCCTGAGAGACATAGCTATGCCAATGTAAGTACTCAATGTAGACCTACCCTCAGACAACTCTGACCAGCAAGAATTCAGCACTGAAATAATTTACAAGTTTCTTCTACTCATAGGTGAAATGTTTCATGTATCATTACAATATGTATAGTAGTAACATATGGTTTCGTTTTAGTTTAGGTTGTGCCCTATACAAAAAGGGAGTTGATGTCATTCTCTTTGATGTCCTGAAGCCGGTCCAAGCTGTGCCAGAGGGAGTGAAGTTCATACAGGGGGATGTCTGCTGTCTCTCTGAAGTGGAAAAAGCTCTCAGAGATGTAATCTGTGTATTCCATATTGCTTCCTATGGAATGTCTGGCAGGGAGCAGCTGAACCGAAAACTTATAGAAGACGTTAATGTGAGAGGAACAGAAAATATCATCCAGGCTTGCAGGAAAGCAGGAGTGCCAAGTCTGGTTTATACAAGTACATACAATGTAGTCTTTGGGGGCCAAGTTATAGAAAATGGGGATGAATCTCTGCCTTATCTACCACTTCACCTTCATCCTGATCACTACTCCCGGACCAAGTCTTTAGCTGAGATGAAAGTGCTGCAGGCAAATGCCACTGAGCTTGGAGAAGGGAAAGGTGTGTTAAGGACTTGTGCTCTCCGACCAGCAGGCATCTATGGGCCCGGAGAGCAAAGGCATCTTCCAAGAATAGTTAGCTATGTTGAAAGGGGATTGTTTAAATTTGTATATGGAGACCCTCTGAGTTTAGTAGAATTTGTCCATGTAGATAATCTAGTTCAGGCTCATATCCTTGCTTCAGAGGCACTCAAAGCCGCCAAACGGCACATAGCTGCTGGCCAAGCTTACTTCATTTCAGATGGCAGGCCAATAAACAACTTTGAATTTTTCCGACCTTTAGTTGAAGGCTTGGGTTACCAATTCCCAACTATTCGTCTTCCTCTCTCCTTTGTATATTTTTCTGCATTCCTAACCGAAATAGTCCATTTTCTTGTAGGCCGTCTTTATAATTTTCAGCCTCTTCTCACTCGCACCGAGGTTTACAAAACCGGCGTCACACATTATTTCAGCATGGAAAAGGCCAGGAAAGAGCTGGGGTACAAACCGGAGCAGTTTAGTCTGACCGAAGTAGTTGAGTGGTTTAAAGCCCAGGGACATGGAAGAAAGCTCAGAATCTATACTATAAAACATCTGATTAGGGATGGAGGGTTGATCTTGCTGTTGGCCGCAGTGGTGCTCTCATGGCTTCCAGCAGCAGTAACACTCTCTGTTTGAGAGATGTTGAACATTGAGCTTGGGCTCTTTTTATAGGGTGATAAAATATACAAAGAAAATTAAAATAAAATTAGATCTCACTGTGTTCTCTTAAAAAAGTGCATACATTATCAGCGATGAAAATAACTTTGCCAGTTTCAAATGTTTTGTCATTCCAGAACAATGTAATAATACATACCAGAATATTTTAGCATTGGTAGGAAATACGTTTGTTTTATGTCTACTGAAGGGACTATTCAGTTTAAATGGATTAACAGTATTGATGTGTTTTTATGACAAAATTATGTGTATATATTTATAATATAATCCACCGTACATTAAAGTGAGGTTGTTCATTGAAATAATGGCATTGCAGGTTTCCACATAACCCTCAGTGCTTATCAAATGAGAGGTTTTCTTTTTAACTGAGCCTCTTACATTCTCAACCTTCACGCTGAATGTTAAGCTTCTTTCCTTCTTGCCTATCATCACAAGAAATAAAGGTTCTGCAGGCCAAATTGGGCCCCAGAGACATCTGCAATCCCATTGTATTCTGGGTATGCCATTAGTGCTTTCAGCAGCTTGCACAGGTATAACTGATTGGAACAGGGTGATGCTGATTTAATGGGTGATGCATAAGAAGAACAGAATCCAGCTCACATGTTTTGAGTTGTTGGAGCAAAGGACTGGAACAATCCATTTGTGTCACTAGGGTAAATAGGTGTGATCGGTGAATACACTAATAGAATGGAACTGCTGATTACAAATGTGACATTTTTTGTGTACAGTCTCTTCTCAAAGTAAAACTGCATTTTCATTTAGCAGAGAGGCACACACATGGTGTGACGGTCAATATGATTGCAAATGGCATGCTTCAAGGTGTATAACGAATAGTCTTAATTTGGCATTTTTCACATTGAGAGGATTATACCCATGATCCTTGCTACTGAGAAGATTCCTGTATCCCCATCTAAATGAATTGTATTTTGAAAAGTTCACACATTGGCCACTCCTAGCCTTCGGTGCACACAGATCTGACCACAAATGAGCTGTGATTTAAGATAGAGGGATATACCTAAAGCTTCCTCATGTACAGGGGGTGGTAAATTCACTCTAATTCCAATTCACACAGGGAATTTTTCCATTAGGATTAACATCAGAAAAGCTGAGATATGCCCAAGTGATTAATCCCTGCACATTAGTCAGTTTTGTCATACTAGATAAGATCTATTGTTTATCTTGTTTCAGTGTGACAAAGGCAGTCATCTACCCTAATAGCTCTTACTGTCACAGGAACAGTGAATTAGGTAGTGTGACAGGATCATCAGCTACACTGAGTATTGGTGGATTGTCTGAAAACATGCGTGGGAATATAAACCTCCAGTTGGTGTCAAGATCTTGCTTAAGAGTTTGTACCACGTGAGTTACTTTTGGTCATCTCATAATGATCTGGCACACTGGTGTTAAACAGAAAGCAAGCATGTAGTAAATCCAATTTATCTAGGAAATCTGTTAGTTCTAATCCTTACAACTAGTCTTCAGGTTCTGCAGCTCTAATAGAAAGTTTGATGATTTGCAAGCTAACATTGGTGCAGCCATCTTTTCATTGAGGCCAAATTCATCTCTGGTATTGAATTAAGTAGAGCTGCATTACAGAAGAATTTGATTCAGTGGGTGGATTTGCTATTAACCAAGCAGTATGTTTACACAGGAAAAAAAAATTAAAAACTGAACTAGAAGTTCTGAGAGTGCTTTTATGGGTTAAAGGTATTAGATGTGTAATGTCTTATTCTGGAACACACTTCCATACAGTGGGCTAATCTGTAGCAATTACTATTACAAAATGCTTGAAGAAGCTCACGTTTGTAGATTTTTCCAACTATAAAAAATGCTTATTTAAAAATGAACGAGTTGGTTGAAGTGTTAAGTAGCTGAGAGCCTCAGTATTATCAAACAGTTAAACACCATTCAGTCAACTGGCTTCAGCTAACACTTATTTTTGTATTCCATTGTTATTCAAGCTTCTAAAAAAAGTATTACAATCATTTCCTTAACACGTAGTATCACCTCCAAAGGGACTTCATGCTTTTATATGAGGAACTATGAACATTTTATATTATGAAACTTGGAATTCCACTCAGCAGCACTTTTGAGTAGACTATTTTTCAGTTTACTACACGGGGGAAATACTGACATGTTTTCACATCCATAATTTTGTGAACAACAATTTTGTTCCTGCCCTTTATGTTGACAAGTCAAATTCACACTTGGCTTTTTATCTTAAATTTTAAATAAGTTTTGAAGTTGGAGCTACCCTAGTTCTGATGTTTAAAAGAAATTCCCCAGCAATTTAAGTTCTGTCATCGCCTGACAGCCTCAGTTCCTTCTGCCTAGACTGCAGAGCTTATCTAGAACTCTGACTCTGAGGGGAAGGTGGGCGGCTAGTGTGAATACACAGGGGCAACTCTTAAACAACACTTATAGTACATAACCTTTCTTTTTCAAGAGCCAATGCTCCACCTGAGGGATGGTGGCTGAGGAGTTCTTAGCTAAATAGGGGCTGTAGCACCGGTTACCCACCCCTCATTGGGGACATTGCAGTCTGTATATACTATGTGTGCTGCCCAACCCCAAAACACCAACATACCCCTACACTCTGTATGTTACCCCCAATGACCAATAACTGACGCTTCAAATTTTCTGTATCGTTTATTTTTTAAATATTCTCTAATAAAATTTAAATCTGCTCTTCCAAACTGGGCATCCAAGGAGCAGCATGTGATGAAAGTGTGCAGCGTACCTGAAGTTGCTTTGTTTATCTCTACCACGGGGCACCCGCCTAAGCCAGGCCACTGAGGCTGTGATAGCTCCCATGGAATGGTGTTTAAACCAGGGGGTATTGGTTTCCTAGCTATGATGCAGCAGGGTTCTATACATCTCCTAATCCATGACCTTCATGGGTCAGAGTACAAAGGAGAAGGACGGCACTTCCTCTTTTTCTTATGCCCGTCTTACAGAGAGATTCTCTCTCTTCCTACTTTTACCTTCACAGGCATCTGTAAGGACTTGCTGTGCCAAGACAGACATTGGCAGCAGAGGATAGGTCTGGAATTGGTGCCAGTGGTTACTATGCCAAACGAAGAATAGGCACTGAGGGGAGTTCTTCCTGCATTGTCACTATGGCTATTGTGCCTGAATAGACTGTACTGGTTTGCTCTTCACTGCCACTTTCAATTTAACCAGTGCCAGGCAATGCCAGATAAGGGATTCATTCTTAGTGGAAGATCAAGGAAATTCCAGTCTTGGGCCCATGTTAGAAGGCAGCACTGAGGCCAGAGCAGCGAAATAAGTCGTGCCCCGTGTTTGAGGATCTTGGCTCAGAGCTCGGAGGCAATGAAAATCTGTGCGTTTTATTATGCCTCAGTGACAATTTTGCTGGGAACCTCAGGGAGATGTGCCAAAATCTTGAGTGAAAAGATTAACCAGTGACATTATTTTTAACGGGTGAAAAAGCCTGGATGGCTGTCTGGATAAAGATTATGTATAGCACTGGATTGCTTGTAGCCATTACTTATAAGAAAAGACCTGATCACTTCAACTAGATTATTTGCAAGAGTAAAGGCTCTGGGATCAGGTCCAGACTCTTCATCCAGGATGAGCAGAACAGTGAGGAAGGTAGTCTTTTCATGCAGTGAGACAAAATGCACACAAACCAAAGCAAAAAACCCCAAAAGCATATGATTTGCTCCAGGACCTCTCCCCAGTGCCTGACCAGCCTAGGGAGCTCAGCTGGATACAGGAGAACGGCACAGAAGCAAGCAGGATGCAGGAGGAATCATTCTCTGCTTGCCTACGGAGCTGGTCCACAGCCACTACTCCCTTCTGCTCCCTGCAGGTGGAAGGACATGTGGATCCACAGAGTGGCAGATCCTTTAGCTCCAGACCCTTTTCCTGACACATCATAAACAGGTAGAACAAACCATCTTCCCAGCCCCCCAAAATAGCCTGCTCACCCACTCCCACAACCAGTTAGCTGTATGTGAGTAATATGGGGCTAATGATGCTGACCTCCCTTTGTACAGCACTTTGAGATCTATGGATGAAAAGCACTGTATACACTAGCCCATACTAGATCAGCATTTGGTATAGTCAATAATTCTTCTGTCTTCCAGCTCTTCCTAGTAAATACAGCAAAGGCCTGGTGATAGAAAGGAGTGAGGGACACCCTGCCTCTTTCATTTTTCAAAATCAAAATAGGAAACCTGCAGCTTATTAAGAAAAATACTTTTAAACATCCCCAAAAATCAGCTGCAGATGTTCCATTTCAAATGTTTTATGATGATCCTTCATCTAAGCCAGCGCCACATTTTTTTTTCCTTGTGCACCTGGGTAGAGATAAAAAACGGTTACTCACCTTTGTAACTGTTGTTCTTCGAGATGTGTTGCTCATATCCATTCCAA